GCTGGTTAAGAGTGGACTTCTAAATAAGTTAGAAGATGACTCCTTACCACCGTGCGAGTCCTGTCTTGAGGGAAAGATGACTAAAAGATCTTTTACTGGAAAAGGTCTTAGAGCCACGATACCCTTAGAGCTCGTTCACTCAGACCTTTGTGGACCGATGAACGTAAGAGCTCGAGGTGGGTATGAATATTTCATCAGCTTCATTGATGATTATTCTAGGTATGGTSATATTTACCTAATGCATCACAAGTCTKAAACCCTTGAAAAGTTCAAGGAATATAAGGCAGAAGTTGAAAACCAATTAGGTAAATCAATAAAGACACTTCGATCGGATCGAGGTGGAGAGTACATGGACTTGAAATTCCAAGACTATTTGATAGAACATGGAATTCAGTCACAACTTTCTGCACCTAATATGCCTCAACAGAATGGTGTATCTGAAAGAAGAAACCGAACCTTGTTAGACATGGTTCGCTCTATGATGAGCTATGCTCAATTACCTGATTCCTTTTGGGGACATGCGTTAGAGACCGCTGTCTACATTTTGAACAATGTTCCCTCTAAGAGTGTTTTGATACACCTTATGAGCTATGGAAAGGGCGTAAAGGTAGTTTACGTCACTTTAGGATTTGGGGCTGCCCAGCACACGTGTAGGTGCAAAACCCTAAGAAATTGGAACGACGTCAAAATTATGCCTATTTGTAGGTTACCCAAAAGAATCAAAAGGTGGTTTGTTTTATAATCCTCAAGAAAATAAAGTATTTGTGTCGACAAATGCCACGTTCTTAGAGGAAGACCACATTAGGAGTCATCAACCTCGCAGTAGGCTAGTATTGAATGAGATGTCCAAAAACACTGCAGAAAGAGCTAGTTCATCAACTAAAGTAGTTGATGGAACTAACATTTATGGTCAGTCACATCCTTCTCAAGAGTTGAGAATGCCTCGACATAGTGGGAGGGTTGTTCTTCAGCCTGACCGTTACTTGGGTTTAACTGAAACTCAAATCGTCATACCAGAGGACGGCATAGATGATCCATCAACCTATAAACAGGCGATGAATGATGTGGACCGAGACCAATGGATAAAAGCCATGGACCTTGAAATGGAATCAATGTATTCCAATTCGGTCTGGGTTCTTGTAGATCAGCCAAATGACGTAAAGCCAATTGGTTGTAAATGGATCTACAAGAGAAAACGAGACCATACCGAGAAAGTACAGACTTTCAAGGCTCAACTTGTGGCAAAAGGTTTCAACCAGAGAGAGGGAGTTGACTATGAGGAAACTTTCTCTCCTGTTGCCATGCTAAAGTCGATTAGGATACTATTGTCCATCGCCACTTTTTATGATTATGAAATTTGGCAGATGGATGTCAAGACAGCATTCCTAAATGGAAGTCTTGAAGATAGTATTTATATGGTCCAACCAGAGGGGTTCATTGAACAGGACCAAGAACAAAAGGTTTGTAAGCTTCAGAGATCCATTTATGGATTGAAGCAAGCATCTCGGTCCTGGAATATAAGATTTGATACTGCGATCAAATCTTATGGCTTTGAGCAAAATGTTGACGAACCTTGTGTATATAAGAAAATCGTCAATTCCACTGTAGCGTTTCTAGTTTTGTACGTTGACGACATCCTACTCATTGGGAATGATGTAGGTTTTCTGTCTGACGTTAAAAAATGGCTAGCTAAGCAATTCCAAATGAAAGATTTGGGAGATGCAAAGCATGTTCTAGGGATCCAAATAGTTCGGAACCAAAAGAACAAGACACTAGCCATGTCTCAAGCAACTTATATCGACAAAATGTTGTCTAGATATAAGATGCAGAATTCCAAAAGAGGTTTATTACTTTTTAGACATGGAATTCACCTGTCTCAGGAACAGTGTCCTAAGACACCTCAAGAAATTGAGGGGATGAGACATATTCCCTACGCTTCAGCTGTTGGAAGCTTAATGTATGCTATGTTATGTACTAGACCTGACATATGCTATGCATTAGGGATAGTCAGCAGATATCAGTCTAATCCAGGATATGATCATTGGACTGCCGTTAAAAATATCCTCAAGTATCTTAGGAGAACGAGGAACTATATGCTCGTGTATGGTGCTAAGGATTTGATCCTTACAGGATACACTGACTCTGATTTTCAGACCGATAAAGATGCTAGAAAATCTACATCGGGATCAGTGTTCACTTTGAATGGAGGAGCAGTAGTGTGGAGAAGTGTAAAGCAAACTTGCATTGCAAACTCCACAATGGAAGCTTAATACATAGCTGCTTGTGAAGCAGCAAAGGAAGCAGTGTGGCTCAGGAAATTCTTGACTGATCTGGAAGTCGTTCCAGACATACATCTGCCCATCACTCTCTTTTGTGATAACAGTGGAGCAGTTGCAAATTCCAAGGAACCTAGAAGCCATAAGCGCGCAAAGCATATTGAGCGGAAATACCATCTCATAAGGGAGATAGTAAACCGGGGAGACGTGGTCGTCACTCAGATAGCYTCRRAAGAGAATCTTRCTGATCCATTTACTAAGGCCCTCTCGGCTAAAGTGTTTGAGGGTCACCTAGAGAGTCTAGGACTACGAGTTTTGTAAACTAGGATAAGTGGGAGAATAATTCGGCGTGTATCTGATGTATGCCCA